CAAAACTGAAGGAATTTAACCAAATGAACAATTAAAGAGAAAGGTTTCATAGTAATTATTGAAAAGTTTTCATTGATACTGACCTAGGCATTTACCAGGGTAAACTAATTTTACATTCCTGGACAGAGATCACTGTTCAAACCCATCTGCCTAAAGCCTGCCTTAGCTCCTTCTGTATTTTCTTGCTCTGAAGCACCTTGTGTTTTGTTTCTTTACTGCAGCCTCACAGCATTGCCAGGCAATACCCACAATTGCCCTTGGTGCTCTAGACAGCCAGTGTCATCCTTTTGTATAATGAAATCCAAATAAACATTTGTCACAGCTCTTTGGAATAACATCTTCATGTTAAACGATGTATTGTTATGCTTCAAAACTGAAAATTATCTTGAAGCATAAAATTATTCCTTGCAGGTTTCAAAAATTAGCTAGTAAGAGTCAGATAACTCAGCAGTGTGTACTGTCACTAGCAACAAATCCTTTCTGCAACAAGGGGGATTTTCACTAAAGGAAAATTTTGAAGCTTATTCCAAATTTTATCAAACTTTGTTTTTTTTTGTTGTTATAATTTAATCGCTGATGTTTTTGGTTACTAGGAAATTATGAGTATAGTACTCCAATTAAGAAAGAAAAATGTTCAAACTTATTTTTAAATACCCTATTTTTATATATGAGATCAACCAAATTCAACCTGATCCATGATCATCTCCTAAACACTTGATCTTACAGCTGAGCTTGCAGTGGTCAGTTGAAATAATCAAGGAACTAACTGGTTTGAAAGAAAACTTTCAAAGAAATAAATTGTGAAATAAATGACCTAATTCTGAAACCTGGGAATAATCAACCATTTGCTACTGATCTAGATTTCCATGAACTTCAGCAGTCAGGCCTGCTGGTCATGCAGCAGAGAGCCTGAATCAAGGAAATCCTCACAAACTTCTCTTGGACATCGTGCCTGCAGCCACAGGACACTGTCAAAGCAGATTCGCAGCAGCTGGGAAAAAAATGTACAGGGCTGTGGGTCTTGAAGTGAAACTGGATGGGTGTGGGCATCTAAGTTCCTTCTAAAGTAATCATAGCAGCAGTAGAAGCAATAATGAATTGCCATGGGGTGATCTGCTAAGTGTCAATATGAATGTCATCCTTTTTTTTCTTCTCCAATTGTTGTCTCATTGCCTGATGGCCACAGGTTGTTGAAAACTGCCTGACTGAAAACATGCTGAAATAGCATAACATGATGTTTGAGACAGAAATTAAATATTTAACATATATTTTTACTGCAAAAAGAACATGAAAGGAAACTGAACTATGCTCTCATAAACAGAAAGTGACAGGGGAATCATTCAAATCTAAACCCATCATCTTCCTAGCAAAGCAAACCTAATCAAATTATAAAAGTAGCTCTTCCAAGCTCATTGCCACAGTGGTTGCTCGATCAGAAAGTCTGTGTAATGGAATAGGAAACCTTCAGACACACTTTTAGATTAAGCAACTGTGTTTTTCCTGATGGAGTATAAAGAAAAAAAAAATTATAAACATTTCCAGTTCCCATCACTTGAAAGTAAAGAGAATAATTTCCATTAACATTCAACTAGCTCAACTAATGAAGCCATTTTCTCTCTGGACTTTTTTCCTTCTTAAACATTCTCTGATATTGGACTCATCTTCATAAATTGTTTAGTTCTGTTGTCAACCCAAACCCTGATATTTTTGCCAGTAACTTAGAGGATAAAGCTATGCCTCCTAGTGCTACTGAAATAACCACTAAAGTAACTGCATTTCTTTATTTAATCACCGGAACTTTTAGACAAATTCTTGCCCTCTGGTGGTGGGAATGCTTCCCCTGGTTAATCCTCCTCTGACATAACTTATTCTGGGACACTTCCTTAGTTTCAACAGTATTTTCTTAATTTTGCAGAACTCCCTCTGTGCAGGAGATATTTCACAAGAACAGGTTTCAGAATGCTATCTCTGAACTCAAATTACTCTGAATTTTCTCTCAGGTTTAGGTCTACTATGGGCAGTGGTGCTCCACCCATGTGTCTCCTTCAGTCTCAAGGAAAGCACACTGATTTTTTACTCCACTTGGCTTCATTGTTTGAATAGCAATATCCCCTGCATTACCTCAGAGATATTAATCCCAAATCTGAATATGCCCCCACAAATCCACTGTCTCAGCATGGCAGTGGGTCTGTCCTCACTACCTGCTGTGTGGCATCATTCTCTAGAAATGGTCAAATAAATGAGAGCAGAACATTTTAAAACTTCAAAACTTCTTAACTTCAGAAACTCATCTCCTATATCAGTCACAAGTATTTAATTGCTCCCTTCTCTAAGGGTGAAAAATTGCCAGGGGCACTTTTCCTTACCACCCAAGTGCATGGCACGGCCTACAAAAAGCCACACATACACTGGCATTGACAAACTGAAGATTTGATTCAATACTTGGCTAAATATGTGGGAATCGTGAAACTATGGAACCTCTTGCCAGAAGCAAAGGACTACAGCTCACCAATGTCTCCTGAAACAATTTGCATTAAACAGTGTTAATGTTCTCTGAAGGTAGATATTGAAACATTGTTTCAGAATGTTTTTGGGTTTTTTTTTTGCAAGTTTCAAATTTTTAGCATTCAGAAATGCTACATAAACATTGGCCAGGTAATTTAAATTACTATTGAAAAGAACATTTTTGATAGAAACACCTACCTACTGATTCAATTCATTTTGGTTTCCTATATAAAGTAACAAAATTAGGTGCTTTAAACCAAAATGGCGCCTTCAGGACAAAGGGTACTAAACTAAAAAGGTCAGGTAACAACTAATCTAAAAGTTACTCAAGTTAGAAAAACAAATGTTGTTCTGATTTATACAAGCATCCCAGACTAATTAAGAGAAAACACTGGACTGCAGAGCTATTGAGATGCCCCTTAAAGGGGAGCTCTTAAGCACCTTCAAAACTCAATGAAATTTTAATCTTAGTGGAATTAAATGCAAAATTCCTCCAACATCAATAAAATCAAGATTTCTTCTGATAAAGAACATTGGTATAAGTGAGTACAACTGGCAATGAACAGTTGCAGAGGTAAAGAATAAATTTTAATTTCCATATCAGAAAAGTAAGGTTCTGTAATTGTCCCCAGATCGAGCAACAGGAGCAAAAAGATTTAATGTATCCAAAATAAACATTTGATTATAAACCTGTAAGTTCAAGAGCACAGTGCCCAGCACAGCTGCCACAGACTGGCAGAAACATTACACTTATTACACAGAAATATAAAGGGATGATAATATTTACCTTCTCCCTAGAGCTAACCTTTTCCCAAAGAAGAGCAGATGTTTTTAAGTGCACCACAAAGAGCTACATTGCAGTGTGCCTGTGATTTAGTAATCACCAAGAGCCTTCAATAGTGCTCTGATTCTGTCACACAGAACAGCTGTTCCCACTCTGCAGCCTCAAACTACCACAGGGGCTATTTACTGACCAACTGGTGAGCACTGGATCTTTAGTTTTTTAGTCAAGCTGAAATGGAAAAAATACAAAACTAGTGTCATTACATCTGGGGAATTGATTTGGAAAGATAAAACCAATCTGTCCTTATTGAGAAGTGTTTGCTTCTTGACACTAAATGCATCTCTCAATACTAAACTTCAAAGCTCTGATGTAAGAGAACCCAAGTAGTTCAGAGCCTCTTTAAAGTTACGGCAGCACTCAGTAAAGTTAAGGACAAGGAAAAGTAGGGCACTTCTTATGTTCCTGTACTGCATCATTCCCTCCCTCTGCCCTGTAAAACACAATGACAACACACCTTTTGATGTTTTGAATTCTTCATGACTTTGTATGGCATCATAACACCAGAGCACTTAATCTAAATTTTTGATTTATCATAAAACCCAAGAGATTGTTATAAGAAATAAAAAATAAATGTCATTAACCAGTAAAAGCTTTTACTTTTCACCAGCAATTTCAAACTCTGAATTAACACAGAGATAATTATGAAATGATTGTGTTTTCATCTCCTTTAAGTCACAGCAACAATTAACACAGTTATTCCTGGACTTTTTTTTTTTTTATTAAGAGAAAATTGCAGAAAAACATCTGGTATTGTAACCAGAAGCTGCAGTTGAAAGCAAGGAGACAGAACAGGGTGATCAGTCTCATCACTGAACTGCTGAGACACAGGAGCAAAGGCACAGACTGAGAACAGAAGCAACTGAAAACAGTGCATGAAAGCATATTAAGAAGTTTTTCTCCAATTACTTATCTGGTACCAATAGAATAGAACTTCTCTTACCTTTCTCAAAATACAATTGCTTTTACAACACTTAGAAAAAAAGAAAAAAACAAAGGATGTGGATGACAGAAACAGAGTAATGTCGCCGCTGAAGATAAATAGATCACACGGACACAGGTGTGGTGAAAAGAAGAGAAAGTTTATTTTTCCTCCCAGGATTTATAGGCTTTTGACCACGGCCAGGGATTGGATGGTCAGGATAACACTTTCTCACTGCAGTGGCCATGAGAGATGCCCATCACAAGACGTGTAACAGAAAGAATGTACACATATCTATGTCTACAGTTACTGTCCTGGGAAAGTCCTTAGAAAACTATGTTAGCAAGCTCAGAAGCTGAGTTTTCAGGGCGACAGAGTAATCCAAGACCATTCACACACTGGATTTATCTAACATTTGGAGAAACAGCAAGTCTAGGTTACTAGTGTTTCCTACTGTTTAGTGGAAAAAATGTAGTTTTTGTAACAATAATCAAGTTCTTTAATGGGTTGCAAGAATAAACTGTCCTGATTCCTTTCTGTCAGTCATTATTGACACTCTGCTCAGTTGTCTCTCTGAAAGAGAAATAAAACATGATTACAAAAGGAACAACCACAGGGAGACATAAATGCACTCGTACTCAGCACCAGTGCAAGCAGGTCACAAAGCACTTTCAGACAAAACTGCCATGGAATATCATGAACAATGTTTCTGAGCTGCCATTTTCACCACACTTTGTAGGTCAGACAAATCTTTTAATTATGCTATGGTTTATGGCTACTGATTCAAAAAACAAGGCAAAAGGTTAGCAATCCAAAGTATGTAAATTGTAATACACTAGTACAGCTGTAAATCCTGAAATATATGTTGAGTGTCAGAACTTAAAGCACAGATACCACATAAAATGCTTTTCCAACCTTTAGAAACTTGAAAATAGGACACGCATTCTTATAAAAACTCCTTTTTCAGTCATACTTCTATCAAAACCCGGTCCTTTCTTTCCATGTCCCCAAAGTGTCTTTTCATTTGATCTCAATATATTCCATACATGTGCCACACAGTAAATTGATTTGTCTTGCATGCATCACTCAGCTTTAACCAGCACAGTATTCAGTAATTCACTTCTCCTAGGATTTACACCCACATTCCAAACTATAAAGTCAAAGGAAGCAGATCTTAATTGTTTTTAAAGGTAAATCAACTGAAATTTTCTTCTCCATCTCGAAATACATAAATATGTAAATAAAAGCAGTAGCTAACTTCAGCTGTGAAAAACCCACCTTCACTATTGTCCTTTTAAAATAGGTAAAGAGCAACAATCTCTTCTGGAAACTAAAAATAGCAAGAGTAATTTTACCATCTTTTCACATTTTGCTCTTATTCCCCTGGAATATAGTGACCTTATTGGCTTTGCTTATGTAAGTGGTAATAGATTGCCTAGATGGAATTTTTCATTTAACACAAGCAATTTGTATGCATATTTTATGCTGGGCTGATCTTTCTGCCCTCCTTTTTGTATCCAGCTCTCACTCGTGTGACTTCTCAGCCAGAGGCAGCAGGAAAGTCTCACTGCTCTCCAGCTACATCAGTGTTTGACACCGGGTGAGATGCAGGGCACTGAGTGCTGGAGACACTCAGGGGTCACACAGACTCCTCCTGCCTAAGAACCCAAATAAATCTGCTTCCACTGACAGAACTAGCACTCACTGCCACAGCACAGACCTGCCCAGCAGCTTTGGGCCAGGACCTTTGACTGCCAAAGTGTCCTTCCCTAAATGGATCTGGTGGGCCAAAGGCAAAGGATGTGTTGCCATGGGCAGCACTATCAAACTTGGATGAATGGCTACTGACCTGATTCTCCCCCTCCTTTTAGTGAAGGCACATTCAGTTACCTGCTGTCTTCCTCTACAATGAGTGCTCATAATGGCATAAAGTGGGAAACACTTCCTGAATAACTGTTCTACATCCAGCCTCTTCCTTGCAGGGCTCAGACAAGTTTGTAATAGACTCTCACTCATTTTTTAAGAAAATTATTCCAAAAGATCTGCAGTTCTCACACATCTGTTGCCCTCTGGTAGGCATGCTGAGTTTCTATGACATTTAACAGAAACGTCACGCAGGTACCCAAGTTATTCCTAAATGTCTGTCCATGCACTTTGAGTTACACTAAAACAGCTACAGATGCTGCAAACAAAACTAACCCTGGTTTCACCGAATCTAATACTCCAGTCATGGGACTGCTTAATTGAAAGTACATGGACTAAACAGGAGAAGTACCAAGAAGAGAAAAAACCAAAAAGCTTATCTTACATCCTATCATGAAATCATGTTCTCCAATTTCTTTAGGTTCAGGCCTTCATGATCCTTATTTTCACTTATTCCTCATTTTGAAATGCAGGCATTTTTATAAATTTTAAGCATCTTTCAGAGTGTGCTCCAACAACAGAAACCAATGTGCATGGCAAACAAAATTTGGATTAAAGCAGTGAGACCTCAGAAGTTTGAATCCCCAAGAGTGTCAGGATCATCATCACACCTGATGTTTTCACAAGGTGAAGGATACCTCAATCCAGATACAATCCAAAGGCTGATGTTACGTACATTAATTCAACTCAGCTTACTAACAATCCTCTCCAAACAATCTCCAAGGAAGTATTCATGAAAGCTGTTTCTCTACAGTGAGACTTTGTCACAGGTCATTAAACATCATTAAAAATGGTCTCCTGTGATGTACAGAAAAAACTTCTCAGCCAAAAGGCAAAAATTCAGATTAAGAGTATTTTTGTTACATTTAGGAAAATGAGCAAACATTAAACATTGTGCAAAAGAAAAATGCTTTATTTAACACCATATATGATTTAGAAGTTTCAAGCTTGAAGACCAAAAAAATGAACTGTATTTTGCTTTTCCAAATACACCTATATTCAGCATGGAAGCCATTGATTTTTAAGATACACCAGAAATGTCTTTCAGCATCTAGTTACTGCTGACTGCCTTTTCAGCTGCCAGTTCTTGTTTGGGTTTTGAGTAATCCCAAGGTCTCCTGTTCTCTGTGTATCCATAGAGCTTCCGCAGTGCCACGCGTGCAGCCTCCTCCTCTGCAGCCAGCAGTGTTTCACCAGGGCCTTCAGCTAAAATCTTCTTATCACTTGGGGGAAAAAAAACAAAGTTACAACCATTTCCATCATGAAACCCTGAGCACTGCTGTGTACCATGAATAAAACAGACTGTTTTTTTCTCCAGTGTCTGTGAACACTGATTTCTATATACATACAATGGAAACATTTCTGTTGGTCTTTCCTGCAAAGATAAGAAATTGTATATTCTGCAATGGAAACTCAGATCAGAAATGTGTCCATTCCCTGAAAGAACACCACTCTGTTCATCTAGGTTCCTAACATAGCACTGATTCTTTACAGCACTTAATTTGCTAGCCCTGATAAAAATGTGCAAATTCGTTACTCTGGTTAGCTTAAACAGGAACTGAAGTGCTTTTTCTTTTCTCCTATGTGCTATCTTTTCTCTTCCCCTGGTAAGGAGGCATTTCAAACTGCTTCAAAAGGACTGACAGAGAAGCTTTCTCTGTTATGAATGATGTGCCCATGTCTGTTTGACAAACACCTATGGGCACTAAATAGGAGCAGTTCATGAAGGTACACCAGGGATTCCAGAAGAAAAACAATTAAAGTTCCTTTCCTTTTTATAAGATACATCTTAGAAGGTACAGAAACCAAAGCAGGGTAAAGCAGAACAAGTTAAGGCAGCCTTCCCATGAGTTGATCTGCAGCTCCTTTAGGAAAGCAGCAGTGATGTGGATTCTGTCCTGCCCCACAGGAACAATGGGACTGAGACAAGCACTGATCCAACACAAATGAACCAGGGACAACTGGCCCTTCCCAAGTCCTGCCTGGACACAGACACTCCTATGGTCCACTGTACAGTGCTGCTGATTTAAAACTTGAAATCTTCTCTGGAACTTAGAATGAGTCTCTTTTCCATCCCACCTCCTCTGGAGTCTCTTTATGCCTGCCTATGCCCTGGAAACAGCTGTGACCCTTCCAAAGCCATGCAATTATGCTGTTCCCAAAGTTCCTGTGTCAGGTCACTCAGAACGCACCCCAGCTCTTTAGTGCACCCTGTTTAGCCTCTGGAATCCTTAACCAGAGACTGTCTATGTATCAGCATTGTGAGCTATGGCCAGTGCTTAAATGGCTCATTTTATATGTGAGTTACTATCAGGTTTCTTTTCTGGAACAACTTGACCAAAAACCATGTGTAGAAGAGTAAAAGACCATCTTCCCTCCTTCCCTCTCCTCCAATTAAATCCATTTAACTTTAAATTAATATTGCACTAACCAGTACAACCCGACAAAGTAGACTGGCAGAACTGTACTGACTCCCAGCTGCCTGGTAATTCTTGGTTCTGGAGCAGAGATATTCCTCTTGGTCAGCTCTTCCAGAAGTAAGCCCATAGGATTTACAACTTCCCAGATCTCAAACAGGTCTTTTCCAATCAGCTGGGGAATAAAAAAGTCCTAAACAAGAATATTTAGAAGTTACAATTAATGGAGATCCTGGTGTCTCCTAATGAAAATACAGTATGAAGAGATGATAATTGTCGATGAATTACTGAAATGAATGATAAAGTTGCTTCAGTGCCCATCCCAGTGCTCAGAGTCTCTGATTTTGGTTTAGCCACTGCCAGACTTGTGCCCGGGGCAAAGTCAGCCCCAGAGCCAGAGAAGGGACAGCTCCAGCCTGAGGGATGAGCTGTGACAGCAGAGGAGCTGTGACAATACAAGGGAATGTGCAAACCCACAGGTCGTTCACCTGTTAGGATCACTCTCTTGTCTGTAAACAGCTCCTTGCTCTTACAGACACCTCTCAATGGTCTCCTATCAGGAGGAACATTTTAACAAACATTTCTCTATCACAAAACTAAAAATAAGTGAAAAGGATGACTGAAACAATAATAGCTGTTAAAACTACTTTGTCACACTGAATTTCAATATAACATTTTTTATGAAATATCTCCAGGGGCTTGCACTCCTACATGCAAAACCTATGAAATCACCCATTTATATAGAATAGAGTTTTTTAAACTGAAGATATATGAAACCCTACAAGGAATATTTTCATTACATGATAGTATAGTGCATGGAATATAATGCTTTCCCTTTTCAGCAAATATTAATATCACCATCATAAACCAGATGTATGTGATTTTATGTACTTGATCAGCCTTCTTAATGCAAAAAACCCACCAAAATCCCCAACCCCCAAAACCCCAGCTGACCACCACCACCAGATCTCATTGTTAAATTGTCTCATCACAGGTATTATGAAACTTCTGCCAACCTCGCTGGAGGTCTCTGCCCATCCAGATATAAACAAGCTTTTAATGAACTTACCCTGACAAAGATCCCGGTTCTCTCGGGCCCGCTGCTTTCCAGCAGGGCTCCTATCACAGCCAGGAAAGTCCTCTGCAGCACATCTGATGGTGCAGGAAAATCCCTGCAAAGCGCCAGGTCCTGTATGGCCAGGTTTTGAGCCACATAAGAGACGAGTTCCTGACTGGTAAGAAAATTAACCAGTGCTTCTATGCCCTTTGCAGGTAGCTCTGGGTAGGCGCCTTCAAAGCACTGCGCCAGGTAAGAGCGGGCGAAGCGCAGCCCTCGCTCCGCCAGTCCGGTGTTGTCCTGGAGCTGAAGAGCGACCGCGTCCTTGTCCAGCCCCAGCTGCCGGCGCCTCGCCTCCTCGCTTTCGATGTAGCAGGGGTTAACAAACGCAGTCTTGAGAAGGTCCAGGGCGAAGTTTTCCTGCACCCGGTGGCTGAAGGCCTGGATCTCCGCGTGGTAATCCCAGTTGGGCTTCTCGGACCTGCGAGGCGGACAGGGAGCCAGCTGAAGCACAGAACGCGTTACCTGCCCCGCGCCTCTCGAAAGGGCATTTATTGATCCTGAATACCAACCCAGTATTTAAATCCCTGGGGTCAGACACTGTCGGTCCGGCATTCCCGTCTGCCTGCCCCGTTCAACCCGGGCTACGCCAACCTGCGGAGCTCAACCCATTCTGCTCCAAAGCGTGATCAGTCCGGGCCGAAACGTTCTGACTTCCCCCTTTTTTGGGGCCGTCGCATCCCTTTTCTTTCCGAGCCCCACCCGCC